ATTAATAATAACAAAAAAAAATCAATCAACAATGATAGTTACAAAAAATGGAATGTTCGAACCATACTACAAAATAAAAAAATCTTACATGAACACGTTTACCATTAGAAAATCCTCTTGCAAAAATGTACAAACCAGGCTACAAGAAAATTAAATAAATCTCACATATGACATTCACAATATCTTATCCGGTCAAACAATTTAATCAATCAACTCTTAAAAGTAGAACTACTTACATATTTGAGTGTGTATAAAAGTAGATTCTACACATAATCACAAGGATACTCAAGAGATGTACAAAATTGAAAGTAAATAACAAGTTTTTGTTTAAGATGTTGTTGACTAATTTAATTATTAAAATAAAATGTCGATCTTTTATGTTTTAAAAAGATACGCCAAAGCTGAATCATGCACGTAAAATAGAAAGATTGCATGCAAATTTGTAAGCGATTTTCCCCGTACGTTTCCATCATAACTTTGTCTATATAATTAACGCACAGACAATCTCTAAAACAAAGCACCTTCGATATCAGAAGCATTTCATCTCAATCATAAAAAAGACGATGAATAGATATGGACGAAAGCAAACTGTTTTGATGTTCTCATGGTTAGGTCATGGTCACATTTTTCGTTTAAATCCGTGGAAACCATAAGTCTTTTTGTTATTAATCAAGACTAGGTTTAAATTCGTGGAACCACGGTTGAAACGGGAAAAAAAAAACTATTGATAATCCAAATCGTAATGAAAATAATTTAAAGTACAATTTCACTGGATGAAAAATACAAATATATGAAAGAATATTGGTAAAAAGCTCTAATTTGATTTTTAGTGCTCTTTTAGTATTGTTCAAATGAGAAGAAGATAAGGATAAATATATTATAAATAGAAGTATTTTTATTGTACCAACTTGTATTTATGATATTCTAATATTGCTATCCATATAATACAAATCAAATATGTTGATAAGTAAGATTCCTGTTATTATAGCACCACCAAAATTATTTTTGTAAGTTATTTTCTTTTCATGCTTCTTAATAGATAAATTTAAATATCATGTGATATTTAAGCAAAGCAACATAATTTAAGTAGTTAAAATGTGAAGTACTTAATTTTTGACAGCAACCTAAGTTAAGTGATTAACCTGAACTTCAACTAATTAATACATGATTTGCTAATTGTCTTGTTAACAACTTCAACTTTTGTTGCGAAAACAATCACTTAAAAAAATTAAGATCAATTTCTTGTTTCTCATGAAAGTAAAATATGCTTACTACTCAAAGATTCACTAGGTAATAAACCTAAAATGGTTAATAAAAAATCAATTTTTATTAGTTCTTTTCTTTACCAACTTAAAATAGTCTTAATATTTATAAAGAAATGATCACATTGCTATTGATCAACCTAGATGTTATTAAATAAAAAATGTTGGGATTTCTTTTTAAACACTGTATAACGCCAACAAAATTGAACCAAACTAAACGAAAACAATAGGATTTTTCTAAAATGATCGATACAAAATCCTGAAGTTAATGAGGTCGCAAGTGAAGAGAATCATCCAACAAAAGAAGACGGAGACTTGCATAGCCGATTAATATTGCTAAATAGGAAGGAATTGGCGGGGATTATACCTTTAATGGAACAGATAAAACGGAATTTCTCGAGCCAGACAAACATTGGAGTTTGTTCATATGCTTAGCTTACATGTTTCTTTGCATGTATTTGACCAAATGGTAGATAAAAGTGCAAATTTAAGAATAAAAAATTAGAGAAACATAAATTTTTGGAATACGTCAAGAAGCCATCAACAAATTAAAAATTGTACAAATATTGATAGAAAATCGATCTGAAACTTAGAGAAAGGAGATAATAATCAACATATTATGGAATACAAACCCATGCCTTGCGATCCATTCACCTTTTTGGTCGATTTCATCATCATATGCTTCCATAACAATGGAGGTGCAGTGGTGTACTTATCAAATTCAAATCAATCGTCTCGGAATCCAATAACACTCAAGAAGATTCGAAAAAAATGATGAAGAGTAAATTAAAAAAACTTTATTGATATTTAGAAGCAGAATCAGCGAGATGATTAGATGAGAAAAATACAGAAGAAACGATGGAGCATTAATATTTTTGGCAACGATTATGGATCGGTAGAGATTTTTGGATATAACCTGTTTCCTAAATAAATCCCAATTCATCAGGAATTTGCGTAGATATCACTTCGAAGGGTAGAGATTTTTGGATATAACGCGTGTCAAATTAATTGGTATTCATATATTAAGTAGGTAGATTTACAGCCTTTTTGGGTGATAAACATCAATTAAAAATATCTTATATAGATTCTATTACTTATTTAAAAATAATCGCGATTTTACTAAAACAAACCAATAATCGATTTTAATAAATACGCCAAAGCTGAATAACTTTCAAATTTATCGCATTTTTGTTTAAGATACCGTTAGAGTATTTTAATTATAAAATAAACCGCCGATCAATATATATATCTTTTATGTATTAAAAAGATACCCCAAAACTGAATCATGCACGTAGAATAGAAAGATTGCATGCAGATTTTCCCCATACGTATTGTAAGCAGTTTCCATCATAACTTTGTCTATATAATTAACGCACAGACAATCTCTAAAACAAACCAACTTCGATATCATCTGAATCACAAAAATGACGATGAACAGATATGAACGAAAGCAAACCGTTTTGATGTTCCCATGGTTAGGCCATGGTCACATTTCTCCTTTCCTAGAACTAGCCAAAAAACTAAGCAACACCAACCTCTTTAACATCCACCTATGTTCGACTCCTGCAAATCTCAAATCAATCAAGACTTCACAAGCAATTCAGTTCATAGAGCTTAACCTTCCGTCTCTACCGGAGCTACCACCAGATCTGCACACCACCAATGGCCTCCCATCTCATCTTATGCCTGTTCTCAAGAAAGCTTTTGACATGGCAACTGATGAGTTTTCAGGTATCTTGAAAACCCTAAAACCTGATTTGTTGATTTACGATATCATTCAACCATGGGCTCCGGTGGCGGCCTCCGCCCTTACAATCCCTTCCGTGGTGCTCATCACCACAAGTGTTGCTGCCACCATGGTTCATTTTCACTTGAGCAACCACCCTGGTATTGCGATTCCTTTCTCGAACATCTACTATCGTAGCTACGAGTATGGAAAGGTTGTTAAAAGCTTAGAGGATATGCGTAAAGATGAAGACTTTGTAATGGAGTGTGTAAATCGATCTTCCGATATGGTTCTTGTGAAATCTTTCAAGGAGATTGAAGGTAAGTACAGTGATTACCTTTCTGTTCTTACTGATAAAAGGATTGTGCCAGTAGGTCCACTTGTTGCAGAACCTGTAGAAGAAGAAGAAGACGAACAAAACAGTGTGATGCAGTGGCTCGAAACAAAAGCTGTTGGATCTACTGTTTTTGTTTCTTTCGGGAGCGAATATTTTCTTTCTGATGATGATTTGGAAGAAATTGCATATGGGTTAGAAATAAGCGATGTGAATTTCATCTGGGTTTTAAGGTTTCCAAAAGTTGAAAGAAAACTTAGCCTTTCAGAAGCTTTGCCATTAGGGTTTCTTGAAAGGGTGAAGGATAAGAGTTTAGTGATTGAAGGGTGGGCGCCACAAGGAAAAATATTAGGGCACAAAAACATTGGTGGATTTGTGAGTCACTGTGGATGGAGTTCAGCGATAGAAGCTATGAAGTTTGGTGTTCCAGTAATAGCCATGCCAATGCATCTTGATCAGCCGATCAACGCTCGTTTGGTGGAGGAGATTGGGATTGGAATGGAGGTGGTGAGGGATGAAAATGGGCGGCTCAGTCGGGAGAAGATGGCGGCGGTTGTTCGGCACGTGGTCGTTAGTAAGTTAGGGGAGGTGGTGAGGGAAAAAGCTAAGCAAATGAGTTCTGATTTGAGTATGAAAGGCGAGGAGGAGATCGAGTCGGCGGCGGTGGAGCTACTGGAGTTGTGCAGCCGTGGTGGTGGTGCTGCTGGAACCAGTGAAACTAACGAAGCCATTGAAATTGGTGAAGTTTAAAATGACGGAAATCTCCTCTCTTGGTTTAGTTTTTAAAAGTTATTACTTAGATATATAAACATAACTTTAGTTTAGGGGTTTATTATGAAAATATTTTTAACATGATTTTCATAAAGATCCTAACATATACTATGTTTTAATTTCTTTTTCTTTTGGTTAGAGATCTTGAGGAAAAGGCTATCCTTTTTTTTTTGTGTTTAGCCTCATAATCATATTTCAATTTCCAGTGATATTTATTATATTTAATTACTTTTGTTTCAATATAGCTGTCTAATTTAATAGTGTGTTTTCCATGAGTCGGTAAATGTAATCCTTTGTAATGTGTTCATGTCTAAAAAATTCTTTAACCTTTTTTCACCTTCATGTTAATTTGTTGTAAAAAATTAGTCTTTATCTTCAACATGTGGTTATATATGAATAATCAACCTGGTGTAGTACTTGTGTTTGTAGGTATGAAAACATGTTTCCAGGTGTTTTTGTCTGTATAGAACCACCATTGATGGTGATAGTCAAAATAACATCAAGCATGTTGAAGATGATGAAAGCAAAAATAAAAAACATACAAGACTTGAAACAAAATCAAAGAAATAAGATACTCAGAGACAATTTATATATTATCAAATGTGGTGGTATGAGATTGAAACGATATATTATATGATATGTGCTTAAAACGACAAATCAACATGAAGTGACTTTATAAAACATTCCAGGTCTATAATGATCAATTATTTAAAATAATCTTTTCAAAAAGATTTATGTATCCGAAAAGGATGTGTCACAACTGTTCTTTGTCAAATAAAGACCGAGTGAAAAACTGAGGTAAGCAAGGGTAGTCGATCTTATTTTAATCAGAAAGTAGGAAAAAAGAAATTAATTAATTTATGGTAATGTGAACTTAAATTGTTACAAAAGTATGACAACACCAGTTTCAGCTGTTAGTAGATTCCTTGGGTTCATCAGCCACTACTTTATCTGAATTGCCTGTATCTGTATCTACCGTCTGTGCCTGAGACTGCGTCTGTGATTGTGATTGTGACTGTGAATGAGACTGTGCCTGAGATTGCGTCTGTGTCTGTGACTGTGATTGTGATTGTGCCTGAGAATGAGATTGAGTGCTTTGCGCGTGACTTACACTTTGAGAATCTTGTGCAATCCCAAGAACCACCAGAACGGATCTGGAAAAAAAAAAAAAAGTGTTACGAGTGAGTGTAATGGACATAGTTAGTTAGTTATGGTTATAGAGAGAACCTTGGAAGTGAAGATCTTAAGTCTGGTTGACTCGCGTAGGCAACCAAGGGAGCCTTGAGTACAGGCTGTTTATTCAATGCTATTTCCAGCTGTGCGGGAGGAAGCTAATAACAAAATTCACATTTCACAAATCAATCATTTACAAAAACAAAAAATTTCCATCATTTCATTATATTATTACCTGAAGTAGAACCCCGAAAGATTGAGGTTTTGTTAGCTGAGCACATTTCAAGAATCCTACCCACAGCTTTGGATTCTTCCATATCTGAAGAAAACAATAAATCATTATTATTTTGTAGATAAAAATATGTAATAATAGTAAAGTAGCACTCACCTGCTTTGTGACAAGGCGAGATAGAATCTCCATAATAAAATCCACCTGTATTATATTTATATTCAATATCACATGATTACTTCAAATGAAATACACGTATCCAAATCCAAAACACCCCATTGCAACTTACCAGAGAGGGAAATGCACCAATGGTCTGGATCACTGTTCGCATGAACAGCATTGGGAGAGGAGTCTGCTCAACCTGAATATAAATATAAATAATAATGTTTCAGTTAAATTTTTTTCAAAAACAGAGTCAACCCACATACATACCAATTGGTTTAAAACTTTTGCTAGAACTTGTTGGGTAAATATCTGTCGTTGCTGAAAGCAAGTGTTGCATGCATCTGTAACCTGCTTATGCGAAACATAAAGTAAACAAATTGTTTGTTTAGTTGAATAATGACAAGTGGAAAAGGAAAAATAAAAGATTGAAGAATACAAATGCATGCCTTCTTTAAGGGAATTCCATCTCTCTCAGGATCGATGCCATGGATACCAATTAGTACTTCAGTTGGAGTAAGAACTGGAGCTTGGCCACCTTGAGATGATTCCTGTATATTAATGAGTTGTAAATTAGGGTTAAATGAAAGAAATGTACTTTCATTTACTTGTTTATATTATATTTGAGTAGATGTTTCAAAGTACAATGTTGTAAAAAGAAAGAATTCAAAAGTATTATGTACAATGCTATAATTTCAAAATATTTAAACTACAATGTCTTAAAAAGCAGAAAGAAATAAAAATTACCTGCAAGGTACGTGTAAGTGCAGCCTGGAATTTATCTGGTGGAAGATTTACAAAACAGGGAAATATCTGAAGAAGCTGACAAAATAAAAACCAATAAATGTTAACAATACGTCACAAGAACCAAAAAAATAATAATAATAATGATTCATTTACTCAATCGACAATTATCTTTTTCTCCCAGAAGATCAAAAACATGAATGAAGAGATATGTTAACTGTTAAGTGTTTTCTTTGTATTTTTGGAGAGCTTGTTATAGCAAGAAGGGAAGAAAACCTCATGTTTCGGTAGGAAGGGTAATATCGGAATAAGAATCTCTGCATCCTGTCATGTAAAACAGATTAACATGAAGGTAGAATTTAATGCATAAAACAAGTAATATTATATTTTATACCTTAAGTTTTGTGTCATATAACTTCTTAATGGTAGCTATCAAGTCAGGTGAAGGAATTGCCCCATCTGTTAGTGTTTGCACAACCTGTTGAAAACAAATGAACATGAATAAATAATAAATAAATAAAAGCATTCTCCACTTTCTTGAAAATAATAAAATATATATATATAAATGACCTGCATTAGAAGGATCTCGCTTCCAGCAGGTGGATCTGAAATGATTTCAAGAAGCTGAGGTGATGCACCAATTGTGCGAACTAGTTTTGGGATTTGGACACAAATTGCCTTCACAAAAATAGACAATAAATTAGAAAATAGAAATGTAGTTTCATTTATTTATGTTGCTTTTAAATAAAATAAAATAACTCATGCACAACAAACTTCTCAAAAGTCAAACCTGCTTTGCTGCTTTTGACATATTCTTGTAAACAATCAACAGCTGACGAAAAAGAGAATGTTTCTGTAACTCAAAAACATGCAAATAATTAATATCTTTTTTTTTAAAAAAAAAAAAAGAAAAAATACTGTGATGATATAAATATTATATTTATACCTTTGTACAAAGGGCAAAATAGAGAGACATGCATCGCTGTGCATCGGTTATTGAAGTGGTCTGAATGCTTTCAGATGTACATGGCTGGCCCACCTCAGAGACACTATCCTTTGTGATCATGGCATTAACTGATGATGGTTGACTTTCGGTCAAAGGTTTTTCCATCTCAGTGTCCTATTACATATACAATGAACAAGAAGTTAAATATTATATTTTTTTTGTGTTGTTGACATTTCATATTATGTAAAATCCACACCTTTGTTAATTCAGCATCATCATTCATTGCTGATAACAGCATTTCCTTTGCAAAATCTTCAATTTGCAAAGAAATGGACGATATAGGATAAAGCTTGTTTGCCACCTAGATTTCACAATAAAATCAACATTTGTTTTTAAATGTAGAGAAAAAAAAATAGTAATTTATGATATATATATACCAGACGAATGGCTTTCATTCGCACTTCCTCCAAGTGGTGCACTGCACTCTGTTGAAAAACCCTAGGTCAAAATATCAAGATAAAGAGAATATTATTATGTAGATCATATATAAATATCTTTTATATACCTGTAAGGCAATTTTTAAACAGACATCTCTAGTGGGAGGTCTGAGAAGAATTAAACTCCAAACAATACTGAGACCTTGATGCACTCGATCTCCACTGTGTATCTCCTCATTTTGTTCACTGTTTCCAGGAACACATAAACATTCCAACAACTTAAGAACTGACTTTGGTAGGTAAGGAACTTCACTCAGCAATCTACTTAAAGATTTGTCACTGGATGGAAAAGAATCTCTCAGTGTTTCTGCCTGAAACAATTTTAACCCTTTAGAAATCATACTTTACATGCTAGAATAGTAAAATGAATGATGATAGTTATAAAGAAACTAAGAATCTTTACAAACCACTTTCAGAAGAAACATTTCATATACAGAAGTTGCAGTTGTTGAAGAAAAGAAGTCATTTTCTGCTTCTGCTTCTCCAAAGAGTCTATAGAGGACACGTAACGTTAACTCGTGACCCTGAAAGAAATCAAGAATAAGTCACTCTTGTTGTTTTAAATATTTTGAATTTATAAATATATTACCTCATGACTTGTATAATCTGAAAGTATGTGTGTTTGTAGAAGTCTCCAAGCATCCAACTCCAAAGGAAACTGCAACAACATTAAAGTACTCAAAATTGTAGCAGAGACACTAAACTATTAGATATTTTGCAAATTATTTATTACCTCAACTCCTAAAAAGGAAAGTAAGGAAAAGCGAAGCTGTGAGCCTCCAGCAACTGCTATAAGCTTATAAGCTTCAATGATGCGAATAAAAGCCGATTTCTGTACAAGATCCTTTTGTTCATCTGTAAGGCTGATAACAGGTGCAGACATTTTAGGCAAAACCACTTTAGATGTTAACTGAACAGAAGTTGCTGTTGATGAATTGATGTTGTTTGCATCTGCCATAGCTGCTTTTGGACTAAGTTCCTCAGACTTATCTGTAGACATTGAAGGAGCTATGTCTATATCCATTGATGACCTGGCAATATTCGTGATTTGTTCTTGAGTGTCTTCTTCCATGTCAGCAGAAACCAATGAGGTGTCGACTTGGATTTCAGGCATGTCATCATCCCGGGTGGAAGAATCTAGACCAGGTATACCATCTTCAAGTTCTCCTATATCAGTATCTTCTAATGGAATTACTGAAGTAACAGTTTTTATAGATGGTATATCAACAGAAAAGAGTGGGCCTGTGGGGACCACGTCTTCTTGCTCAGTAACAGAATGTGCCATGTCAGCATCTTTTGCTGCAGGGTGTTCAACTTCCACTTCAGGCTTCTGTGGCTCATCAGGGTGCATATCGGTTGCAGATTGAGTGATTTGAGAGTTATTGGAGCGTGAAATTATTTCTGCCAAATATGTAGACAGATGGGACCCACTGTTGAGAATATCTTCCTTTCCTTCTTGTGTAGGGCGAATTGAAGGAAGATTTGGCATATTGGCCATGACTACTTGAGCTAGTAAATCAGCAGATAAACTACTGATAAGAATTTCCAACATTGCAGCAGATTGTTCACCCTGTGCAACCAATGATCTAAACATAGTCACAAGCTGCTGCACAGGTCCATTGTCTACATTCTTTTTTGAATTTCCGTTATCGCCCTTTGAGCCTTGTGTAGGTTCCTCGGTCAAATTAGGTGTTGACCTGGCACGTTTTCCACATGCATCATCTTTATTCAGATCATTAACATCTTGTACTTCAGGCCTTTTCCTCACTGCAGATATTTCTGTTGAGGGTTTTATATCCTGTAAGAAATTGAACATCCATTTTTAGCCAAGTTTTTGAATTGTACGATTTTGACCCCTTGAGAACCCAAATCGACCCATTTAAATGAGAAGTTTATGTGGATGGGGTCAGGTACCTGTGCAATTACTGAATTAGCCACAGAAAGTTGTTGAAGGGCTTCTTCAGCCAATCCTCCAGCTTTCATTTCTCTAAGTGATCCAACTAAACGATCCCTCCACTATGGAAACACATATAATTAATACTAATGATACCAATAATAACAATAACAATGAGAAGAGCTTTATGGATTAAGCACTTAATATATGGTTGTATTAAGACACAACCCTTTACTTAATTTGACATAATAATTACAGGGTTAAGCCAAAAATGAAGAAAAAGACTTTATATGTACAACACTTTATCACATCATTACCAATTCAACCACTTTAGACATACACAACTTAATGGGTTAAAGAAAAAGAGAGTTTGTATGTAATAGACAGGTGGCAACTGCAAGGAAGAAATGAAGAAAGTGAGAGAATTACCGGAACAGCCCCTGGATGAGTGCATTTCAAACAGGAGAGGAAAGCATTTTTTAAAGCATGATGAACCCCCGACACATGTCCTGGTTTAACAGCAGTGCTTGATGGATCCAAACCAAGTAAAACTGGAAGAATTCGACCATAAAATGAAGGTCTTTTCTTTGCAATTGCTGAAAGACTGCAGATGCATTTGAATAAACATTTGGAAGAACAACGATTCACTTTTCTACAAGTGAGGTTTCATATAGAAACTACTATAGCATATATTTGAATGACAGAGATCAGATACCTTTTGATTAGAACAATCACCACCATATTGCTGAGTGACTTCACAGCTGGATATCTTAGCTGATCAAGCAACAAACCTAAGTTCCTACTTGCTTCAATTGATAAATCACTAACATTAAGTATGGGATGCCCTCCACGAAGCCATGCTATGTTAAATTCATCTGGCATCTCTACAACACAAGTAATCAGACAAAAAGCATCATCAATAAGAACAAATAATGTATTGATAGTAGAGGAGAAATACCTCCAGAAGTTTGATCTTCAGGTGGTTCAGAAGAGGCACTTGGATCAGCTGTATATAGAAGAGTTACTGCTTCAATGAACTTAAGTGCAACCAACTTTCTTCCATCACTTTCCGGCTTGAAAAAATATCCAGTTACAGAGAATCAGAATGCATACATTATGTAAAAAGGTTGTGACAAATGTTTGAGAATAGTGCTTACCTTGTATGCCATTGAATATATTTCATCTTTAAGCTTCAACACCCATGCCCATGATGACTCAAGAGAATCATCCAACTCACTTGAATACAAACCCTGTGAGCTACATCTATCAGTAATGCTATATATTTTGGAACCATATTGGATATGAATGATCATTGTGAAGATAAAAAATCAAAGATCACAATAACATCTCCTTCTCCTCGACTTTATATATGTTTGAAAACTGATATCATCATCCGATTTATTTCAGCAATCAACATTATGAAAGTTACCTGAATTGCCATTTTGGTAAGAGCTCGTTGGAATAAACTGATTCCACATGTGATTGCTTGTCTAGCAACTGCTGGTGTGCCATCTCTTAAGAGAGTTATCAATAAAGGTACAACTTCAGGTAATAAATCAGTATAATTCAACCCAACATCACCAGCAATCCTGCAAAAAAGAAGCAATCAGTCATGAAGTCCGGTGCTTTTCTAATTTATATACAGGAAAACCACAAATCAAAAAGTTCACACAGCACATAGGCAACTCCATGTTTCTGAGGTTGAGCATTTTTTCATTCGTGTAATGTCCTTTCAAATATAGGGATGTAAAATATCCAGGTGAATGATCTAAACTTCTCTAGCAATATCTTTAGTCAACAGGGCAAGTTTAAATTATTAGATTATGGCCCAAAGACAAAAGGATTATACTTAATTTCTAGTTTTTGGACCTGGCTCTCGTTGAATGCTAGAAAGAATTCCAATGCAAACCCCATACTCTTTCCTGGCCAAAATAATTCTCCAGACAAATGAGTAGGGATTGAACATTTTGGATAGAAGGTTATTCAAATTGACCAACGTGTTGCCAATTTGAGAAATATAATGGAAAAAACGATAGCTTAATGAAATATCAATCAGGGTTTATGATACGCACTCTGCAACGTATCTGCGAACGGGACTGCAGCGGTCTGTGTGGAGATCAAGAAGTTGGGGAAGGAACTCCATGACCAAGTGAGGGTCTTCTGCGCCAGAAAACTTATCTTTTAATCTACGTAAGGTCTCGAGCTTCGAAGGAACATCAGTGGAGAACTTGGCGGAGTCAATGAGGTTAGCAAACTTCTCCCTCGAAATCGTTTGCATCATTCCGACCATGATCTACCAGCAAACAGCAAAATCCCTAGTTCATGAACCCTAATACTAACAATTCCCCAACTGGACTTCGATTGAAGCGGTGTGTTTTGGCCTTCGGTGGGATTTGTGAACTGCGGAACAGGGGACGGGTTCACGTTTTCACAGCTCTGACACGAGAGGCTTTTTTTAGTTTTAACTTGTAATTTTGGTCTCTTGACAAAATCTTTAATAAATTAGTTACATAATAAATATAGATAAATATAAATAAATGGAAAACTTAATAGAAAATTCAATAATTAAGCTTGTTGATAAAAATAATTACATTTTCAGTTTTAGAAAAAACATTATATTTATTATAACGACACATTTTTAGAGTTAGTGATGGTCACATTAATTCTATTGTAAATTTAATATTACACTTGAAAATGTACATTCTAAACTATCGTAGTCAATTTTGGACTAACATAATCAATATTATACATGGACTTACATTTCAGGACTGTGAATATACATTTTAGACATGATATTCGAAACTTTTTGCATTACATATCATGTGTTTTTCATATTTTCCTTTCACTTACACCCAAGAATTCATAATTGTTTTAAAACGAGTTTCGTGAATTGTTATCACTAAGAAAGTTTTGCCACAAAAGCAAAACGGAAGGACCAATATGAAATCCATAACTCGTGGGAGGATAATTAATTCAATCAAATTTGATGCAACTATAACCATATGGGTTTTAATGATGCACGCCCTTGTAGCCTTTGGTCTTCTTTGTTCTGGCCATTGTAATGGATGAATATAATCCAAACTATGATTCCTCTTTCGTAGTCACACCCAAAGAAGCAGATCAACAACTCTGACAACCTTATTGACCATAATACAAAACCCTGTACGATTAGGGTTTTGTTCGTTAGACGCGTCGCGAGCTTTAGGAAGATCCATCGAGGAAAGTCGGGGTTTTGAGAGTGTGAAGAGACCAGTCGAATTAAGGCCTTTGTAACAATTTCAAAATCCGATTTTCGGGCACCTTTATTTATAATAGGGTCTAGAATTCTTATGGTATAATTATTTGGTCATTAAGTGATTATCTATAAAATTTGACTTCCAAATCTTTATACTTAAATCTTCTGTAACATCTTGAAAATCAAATGGTAAAATTTTCATTTTTATTATAATCAAAACACGATTGTATCTTTATCCAAACTTTTAAAAGTATTTTAAATAAGACAATTATTAGAGTTCATTCCCAAATATCACATATTGCGGAAAATACAGGAGTATGTATTGCGATCAAGCCATGCCCTTTCCTTTCGAAACGGAAGTACCTGAAACCATAATCAAAATCTGTAAGCACAACGCTTAGTGACTATTTGATTAGTGTCTAAGTCCATAACTATAATTTGTATGTACTTGACCCGATTTGGCATGGGCCATTTGGGTTGTATGGCATTGGAACAATTAGATAGACAAAATGAGAAAAATGATACTTATAATTTATATTAATATATTATAAACTCTAATATATTAATATGAAATCATATTATTTAATTAGTATTGATCAATAATTAATATAGAATTAATTTAGTGATCAAAATGTACTAATTAAATATTGACTCTTATATATAGCATGGGTTAAGTTCATTTAGGTTGGGCTAAGCTTTCATGAATAGTCTATGGAGTGTTTAACCCATGGATCCTATGGAAATGAAAGGTCATGGGCATTAGGGTTTACATGAATGCAACCCTTATCCTCCACACTATATAAAGAGGCCCATGGTTCATGAAATGACACTAGTGTGTGAGAAAACAAGAGTGGGTTTAATTTCAAGTGTGAACCTAAGTATCCTTATTGTCAAGTTATTCGAAGTTGTTTTTGGTGTTGTGTGATTCCATTTGAGGTGCAACACTTGGGGCACTAAGCTCTTAAAGGTTCAAGACTTCAAGCTCCATCAAAAGGTATGTCATCTAACTAGGCTTTGTAGTATAGTTGCTTCATATTATGCTAGTTAGGATTAAAACCTTTGAATATTAAATATTTGCATGTATAATAGAGAAAACATAAATCCAGGGTTTATAGGGTTGCATGTACACCATAGGAGTGTTAGAATGCTCAAAACCCTTCAGTGGTATCAGATCTTAGGCTTGTTTTCAGTTATACTTGCTGATATAGGCTGAAAATCAAAGTTTATATGTTATCTGGTCACCTGACTCGCCGAGTCCATTAAGGTACTCGATGAGTCCATGTGCAAATTCATCAAACTCGTCGAGTTGGCTCATGCACTCGACGAGTTGGACCCCCTGACAGCATATCTTCGAGTTGTAAGGTTGAAATTGGTGTAGAATCATTACCTTAAACTGTTTTGGACTTATAAAACCTAGTTTTGATGTGATAATGATTATGGTAAACCAATTTTAAGGTTATTATCAAAATTTCAAGTTTATGTGTTTTTATGTAATTCTTGAAATCGTTGATAAGATTGTTCATAGACTTATGAGTTTTGGTAGATCATATGAATTATTTGCAAAATTGTTTGTTAGTTAATTCTTGATCTAAATGTTTTAATGGAGTCCATAATTTGTCCTCAAGTTATGGATTACCCACCCTAGAGTTTTAAAAGTTAAAATTCAACCCTTATACTTTAAAATTCAACCGTTAGTAAGCCTCACTTACGAAGTCGGTCTATAATGGGGTACAAGGTTGCTCAGGGCCGGTCCAGAGGGTGGGCAACCCGGGCGACTGCCCAGGGCCCACGACTCCAGGGGGCCCGAAATTGTTGGGCTATGTAGTGTATATATATAAAAAAAATTATTACCAATATGATTTTTAGGACCTAAAGTTGGTTCAAACTCAAACTAGCTAAAAAAATAAACAATTTGGCTTGCTTGTTATTACTAATTGAATGCGTTTATAGTGAAGAATAAATTATATTTTTTTGAATCTTTATTATATTTTTCTTTAAGGGGCCCTTTTTTTTATTTTCATCCCGGACCCCATATACGTTTGGACCGGCCCTGAGGTTGCTGCACATAAAATGGTTGTTTAATAGGTGTCCACTCTCACCCACCGCTCCTTGACTGGTGGAGGGTCGTTAGTCGAACGGATTTGACAGGACTATAATTCTCCCTTCATTATAAGTATAATGATAAATATAAAGTAACTAAACATTTTATATGTAACACCCACAGATTCGGGATAGTCAATTTAGAGACGACGAGCGTCAAAATGACTTTATGATAGAGGATTATTTAGAATAAATAATCTTAACTAAGTTGTAGTATATGTGACAAGGTTTTCGTACATATAAAGAATGTTGAAATCCGAGTTAGAACAAATAAGTTATGACCCGTCAAAGTTTCGCGACAGAACCGGCACGACACTACGTGACGTAAATAGTGAATTTATGATTGAATGGCTTTTAGCTTTAGTAATCTAAACGAAAGTCGTAGTGTTCGTTAAACCGAGAGTGTGCATAAAAAGAACGTTCAAATCTGACTTCGGTATAACAATATACAACTAAAAACTCAAAATTTAGATCGAGTGATTTTTAGTCAAAACAACCTAAACGGGAATTAAAGATATTGTTGATAGTAATTCAACGGTAAAAAGACAGACGAAAACGGATGTCGGATGAAGAAGTTATGAAGTTTTAACGGACTTTTCTTGTCCCGACCTGTTAAAAATATAATAATAAAAATGAAGTCAAAATTAGCCGACGGAGTCAAAATGAAAGTTGTAGAGCATAATTTCACCTACGTGTGGATATAAAGAACGTCAAAAAGGGAGCTCGTATGTGAAAGATATGGATTTTTGAAGTTCGGGGCACAAACTTCGAGACCTTCACGAGCTGAACATACTTGGTTCACGAGGTGAATTCGTTGCATGACACCTTTCGAGCCTAGAAGATACACGGCAAGCCTAGGAGATGATCAGGATCGAATTCACAAGGTGAACCTCAAATTTCACCCTATAATTAGAAATCGAAGGCAACCGGTTTTGGTTACTAATTTCTCAATCTCTCTCCTACTTTTCTCATCATTAAGCCGGCGCCCCAAAGATAAAAAAAAAAAAAAAAAAAAAGAGTTTCGGGCCGAAAATCTACCCGCGTGAAGCTCGGTTTTTTAGGAAACATCCCGATTTCATCGAAGAATATTGTTTTAAGGGATGAAGCATTGTCCAATCGTCGTCTTATCAAGTGAGTGTATAGTCACTTTCATCTTACACATATATATGAAGTATTTATATATAAAAGTACGTGTTATTTGTATATATGTTGTTTGTTTATTCGAGATGAATGTTGAATAAATGTTTTATACAAATTTTAAACTGTATATATATTTTATATCTACAAATATGTTGGGTGAAACATAGGTAGATAAATAATGAGGGATGAAATACCGTATATATGTACGTTGGTAGCTATGGATTTAGTATCGTATACATGAACATTGGTAGTTATTGATTTAGTACCTTGATAGCTATGGACTTAGTGTTTGTTGTATAAATCTTGGGCAGTGATATTATAATACATATTAATCTTGTAATATTATAATAGTATAGGGTGTATTCTAAACATTTTAAAATAACAGGGTTTTAATCAAATTTAAAATTTCTAAAATATAAAACCTTTTAATTTAAAATTTTAAATGTTAAAACTTTGATTTAATAATTATCCCCAAATTAAACTATTAATTTGAATTATTAAATCTTAAAGGATTATTAAATTAAACAATTAATTTAACCTAATCGCTTAAATTCCCTAAATTTTGAAAATATGGGATGGGATCATTCAAAATATTTAATTACCAGATTAAACTATTAAAGAGATAATCATAAGATATGAAAACATCCAAATCCCTAAAATTTTGGGAACTTATATTGGGAAGGATGCAAAATTTGAAACCCTAGGGTTGGATAACCCTAGAATTCGAAATCTTGGAGGCTAAGGAAATGGTTTGGGAAACCCTTATCAAATTTCGAAATTTAGGGTTTAAGAACCCTAATTTCGAAAATCATGCCTCATAGGGTTTATTGGCCATAAACCCTAAAGTGTCAAATTCATACATTTGTATAATGCTAATTGAAAACAAAAACCTAATCTCTGATACCACCGATGGGTTTTATACAAACAATCCTATGTGCGCATGCAACCCTAGATACATATCTATGTTTTCACTATTAGTTACACAACATTA